ATATTTACCTCTTGCTTTTTTGGCTACTGTAATATTTATTTCATTTTTGTTTTGCTCATTTGTTTTTTACTAGTATAATTATATATATATATATATACAACATTCAATAGGAGAAAAATTTTGCTCTTTGCATTTCTTTTTTGGTTGCTGTTATTCATTTCATTTCATGGTTGTTACTAAAATATAACTGTATCATAGACAGGTGGCAAGATTTTAAAAGTTATCCTCCTGGGCTGCTCACCCAAGATAATTTCTTCATTCACTGGCCAGACCCTCACTAGCTGAACAGAAAGCATTCATAGGTCTGTTGTACTTGGCAGAGATTTCTCATGGTAATCACAGGAATGTAAAAGACTTATGGAAAAGCAATGGGTCAAAATATGGCATAAAAATTTATGCTCTTGTAGATGCGAAGAATTATTATGCTTTAAATTTAGACTATTATCCTGGAACTCAGCCATCAGGTCCTTATTTGTATAGTAATAAATTGAATAAAATTCTATACTTTATTTTTGATATTTTTTCCTGTTAAGTACCCATTGTTTAATATAATAAGACTCACAAAATTAAAATTAATAATTCATCAATAGAAATATTGCTAAAAATGGGTGTTATACACCCTCCATGATGCTCCTTTAACCTAAAATTAACATGAGGCCCCAAGTTAACTTAGAAAAAACTATTTATATTTCACTTTTTAAAAGACTATCATTAAAATATACACAAGCATATATTGTGCTGTCTTATCTAGTAATAGTAGATTCATTTTTTGGGTTATATAATAAGATTTTTTTTTTTTTAGAACAAGTGCTCACATTAGTTTGAGATACTTAGGCATTGTTGGAGAGTGATGGGTTGGAGCTGATGCTTAAGAAATGATTCTACAACATAAAAAGCTTAGAGGAAAAGCAGGGCAATTCAGTTGTATATAATAAATGAGGCAACACAAGGCTCAGTTTGTGAAAAAGATAAGAAAAGGAAAGAAGCCATGAGCTAAAATGCCATGCTAACACCCTGTTTCCTGATCTAGCTGGTGGTGACCTAGTGATTACTTTGTAAGAATTTATTGTCTTATGCACAATTCTGCACACTTGTCATGCACAAAAATGCTGTGCCAGAATATTATTAAAAGGATGGAACTGTGTTCTACTCTCTCTTCTCATCTGCTTGGTTTTGAGGAGGTATGAGATGATAAAATGAGGGAGTCAGGGGAACTTGATTTTGAGTTGGCCATAACAGTTATTATTTAGACTTATCAATGTCACAAGTGTGAAGAATTTTAGTGCTAAAAGAGATCTTTCTTCTTTTTTCTCCTCTGAATTTTTGCTCCCAATACACATGTGGACAAACCTACAGGAAAAAACCAACAATGAACTGAAGATGCTGGTTATGAAGAATTACCTTTCTAGATGCTTGGAACCTTGGTGGTTAATAATACATTGCTAGTAGCTAGTGAATATAAATAATACGCATAACTACTAGTACCTGGAAGAAGGGTTAAGGACCCCAGAAACACTCCTCAGAAGTCTACTTTATAACCTTATAGCCTTTAAGAAGAACCTCTTCCCCTCACTTAGATGTGGTAGAAACAAGTCCATCCCAAGACTAAACTAAAATGTATCATGAAAATAATTTAATAGATAGCATCTAAATAAGCTTTGGGTCTTCTTTCTGATGTTCAGGTATATATCCTGGTATGTTCAGGGTGGTAATATGGCAATGAGTAACATCAACCACAACTTACCACACATGAACTTCAGGTTTTCTCTCTGAAGAAATAACTCTTTCCATTCTTATCTTGTCAGCTGGGTAGCTTTTCTTCATGCACCCCAACAGTTACAAATTGAGAAATAAAGGATTTAAAATTGCTTAGCCTTTTAATGCAATATTTATCATATTCAAAGTTATTGAAACTAAAAGGGTTTTGGAGAAGCAACACAGCACAGTACTCATGATCAGCACCTGACAAGAGTACTGACATGGTTCAGCAGTCACAAGGTCAGGCTTAAGCAGCTACTGATCTCTTAGGGCATGGCCTTGGGGCTCTTTCATGGAGGAAGACTCTTTCTTGGCACTCTGCTGTCATTTGTTTTTATTGCATTTTATTTTTAAAATATGTCAATAATAGTAAAAGTAGCAGAAGGAGAAGGAAGGGCAGGAGAAGGAGGAGGAGGAGGAGAGGAAAATAATATGTTTACAGATATAAAATAAATTTAGAAAGTATAAAAGGGTATGTGTTGAAAAGTTAATCTTTCCCACTGCTTTCCCCAGTCAACTAGTCTACCCAGGGACAACCAATGTTATAATTTCTCCATCCTTCTTGAGATACTTTATGAATGGCAAGAACCTCTCTCCCTTTCTCTTTATATGTAGTATACACACACACAGACACACACACATGCGCGTGTGCACACACACACATATTTTTGTAAGCTAATGGAAGCATACCAATTGTAATGTTCTTTGATTAACTTTTTTTTTTTGTACTGGGGATAGAACTCAGGACCTTGCAGTTGCCAGGCAGGTGCTGTGCCGCTCAGCTACAACCCCAGCCCCTTTGATTAACTTTTAAAAATTATGATATATTGGAGATTTTCCATGTCATCCTTTTGAATGATTGCTTAGTGTTCTATGATTAATTTAATGAAGTCCTATTATTGGCTTTATTCAGTATAAATAAGGCTAAAATATCTGAGCATACTTGTACGATAAATTAGAACTGGAACTGCTAGCTAAAGTATATGTGCATTTTGATAGATATGTAAAATTGTTCCCCTCTGAAGTTGAACCAAATTTCAAATCTGTGACTAATGTATAAGAGGGCTTATTTCTCTATATCCTCTCCAAAGCAGTGAGTTATTACTCATATCAGTGGGATATTATTGAAGTTTCTATTTGAATTTCCTTTGAGTAACTTTGAGTAACTTTGAGTATCTCTGGATAAATTTAGTGGCTACTTAAATTTCATTTTTTGTAGACTATTATATTTCTATATTTTGTCCATTTTTATGTTGGATTGTTGGTCTTTTTCTTACTGACTTTAGTTGTTATAAAATTTTAACTATCGGTTTAATAGATTTTATGTGGATTATGATGCTATCCAGATGATTATGCATAATGTCATTTCTATGTAAAAATATATGCCAAGTTCCAAGAACTTCATCTATCAAATTAACTTTTATTTATTTATTTTTGGTACCTGGGATCGAACTTGGGTCCTTGCATGTATGAGGCAGGCGCCAGAACCACTGAGCTAAATCCCTGGCCAAATTAACTTTTATATCCACTTGTGATTTGGGTGCTGATTTTGTTTCAGTCCTAATTTTTGCATCTTCCAACTGACTGGAATATTTTTTACTGTTATAACTGTGTACCAGGAAAACCCTAAAAAAAAGATCAAAGATTTTTTTTTTAAAGGAGGATAGGTTTATTTAGCTCACAGTTTATAGAGGTTTTAGTCCATAATCAGTTGGCTCCAAGGCAGAGTGGCTTGGCAGAGGGGCATCACAGAGGAGAACCAGTTCAAGGCAGACCGAAGGCAGCAAAGCAACAAGAGGAAAAAGATCAAAGATTAAGCTAACTCACCCAATAACAAAATTCAATAATGGGAGGGATACAGATTGACATATAGCATTATCATACCATCATTAGTCTTAAGGTATATAAAGAATAATCAGCTAAAAGCTACAACAGTAGAAAGGCAATACCATTTCAAAATCACCAGAGAAAATACCAAAAATTTAATAAGAACAAAACTGTAAAATTGATATGAGGAAAATTTTAAAACATTTCTAAACAATGCAAAAGTAGACCTCAGTAAGTGGAAAGACAACCTTGTTTTTTTGATATGACAACTGAATATCCCAAAGATTTTGATTCACTACAAATTATAAATTCAATTCAATTCCAATAAAAATACCAAAAATTTTATAGTGGAACTGGACATGTTGATATGGAAATTTATATGAAAAATTTAAACGCAAGAATAGTGAGGAAAACACTAAAAGTAAAAAGCTTATGAGAAGTCACTAACCTATCATACATTAAACCATATATTAAAGTTAATATAACCCAAACAATCTGACATGATGGGTAAACAGGCCAATGAAATAGAACAGAAAGCCCCAAAATAAACCCAAGTGTGTATGGAAATTAAGGATATGATAAAGGTGGCATCTCATATCACTGGGACAAAGATGGACTTTCTTATGAGTGGTGCTGGGACAAGTGGGCATCCACAGGGGAAAAGAACACTTGGTCCATATCTCTCACTATACACAAAAATAAATACCAATGCATTAATTAGGGATCTAAATGTAAAAACTGGAACCACAAAAGTACTAAAAGAAAACATGGGTAAATTTTGTTTTAACTTTGGTGTAAGGGTAGTTTAATAATGACCCAAAATATATATGTAATAAAAGAAAATAAATTTGGCTAACATTTAAAAAAATCTTTTACATTTTAAAAACACCATAAAAATTTGACAATTCACCAAAACTCCAACCAAAAATGACACAGTTGACAAAAATGATGTAGAATATTTCCCTACACACAAAAAGATGTTTAACTTTGCTCATAAGAAATTAAAAAACAATATCCATTTTTTTTTGGCAGTACTAGGGCTTGAACCCAGGGCGTTCACATTGAGCTACATCTCCGGCCCTATTTTTAAATTTTCAATTTCCAGACAGGATCTCACTAAATAGCCCAGGTTGGGCTCAAATTTGGGGATCCTTCTGCTTCAGCCTCTAAGAATACTGGGATTACTGTAAGGGCTCTTCCCATCCCTCCTTCCCTCCCTCCTTCTCTCTTGTTCCCTCAGTGTCTCCATGTGTCTCTTTTCTTCTCTGCAGTACTACAGATTGAACCCAGGGCCCCATGTATGGAAGACAAGCACTCTACAACTGAGCTACATGCCCAGCCCATTTCTTTTTGACAAGGTGTTGATATCTTGTCCAGACAGGCCTGGAACTTGTGATCCTCTTGCTTCAGGCTCCCAAGTAGCTAGGACTGCAGGCATGTACCAACCATGCCCAGCTGAGAGATAGTTCTTCTATCAGACTGGCAAAAATAAAAAGCACTGTCATGTGTCACATAGGATGTTTCAGTTAACAACAGACTGCACACACATGGTGGTTCTATAAGATTATGATGCCTAGGACTGTCATAGCCTTCTAGGCTTGTGTAAATATATTCCAGAATGTAATGTATTGTGGAAATACAACAGAATCACCAAACAGTGCATTTCTTGGAACACATTCCTGTTGTTAAGTGGCATATACCTGTACAGTATTTTCTTTTAGAACAGCTTTGGGTTCACAGCAAAATAGAGGAGGGTTCAGATATTCCCCATATCACTTTCTTGAGCTTCCCAGACTCCCAAACTGGGAGGCAAATAAAATTGTTCCTTATAAATTACCCAGTCTGTGATACTGTTATGACCACAGAAAATGGCCTAAGATAATCACCCAAAGCCCATAGCGGACTTCAGGACTCACTCTTGGAAGTGTCCATCCTTGATGGGTTTGGACAAATGTATCCACCATTACAGTTTTATAAAGAGTAGTCTCATTGCCCTGAAATCCTCAGAGCTCCATTTATTTCCCACCCCGCAGCCCTTAATCTTTTTTACTATCTCTATAGTTTTGTCCTTTCCAGAATGTTTTACAGTTGGAATCAGCAGCATGAAAGCTTTTTAGACTGGCTTCTTTCACTTTCACTTAGTAATATGCATTTAAGATTCTTCCACGTATTTTCATGTCTTGATAGTTTCTTTCTTTAGCACTGAATAATATTCCATCATTTGGATGTATCAGTTTATTCACCTAACTGAAGGTCATCTTGGTTGGTTCTAAGTTTTGCTATAAACATGTATGCAGGTTTTTGTGTGGATATATATAT